TCGTAGGAGAATCGATAGACAACGTAATACTGGGACAGCTACCGAAACGCATAATAGTCGGTTTCGTCGATAACAGAGCGTTTAACGGCGACAGAAAATTAAATCCGTTTAATTTCAAAAACTATGGTATCAATTTCTTTTCGCTGTACGTCGACGGTATGCAAATCCCCAGTAGACCGCTACAACCAAATTTCTCGAAAGACGAACCGCTCTACGTCGAGGCTTATCACACCCTCTTCTCCGGAACAGGCATTCACTTTTTGAACGAGGGTAATTCTATAAACAGAGAGGATTACGCCGAAGGATACACGCTTTTCGCTTTCGATCTTACTCCCGACTTGTCGGCCAATTGCGCCGGACATTGGAATCTCGTGAAACACGGCAGTTTACGATTAGAAGTACGCTTTGAAAAGCCACCAACCACGACCATTAATTGCATCGTTTATGCAGAATTCGATAACATGCTCGAAATCGACTCCTCTCGACAAATCATCGTCGACTTCGCCGGCTAAATCCCTACGCCGACAACTACACCGTGCGACGACGACGAAGACGATGGAAAATTCTTTCCCCCCTACATATTGTTTACCAGTTTTCCCCCCCCCCCCAAAAAGCAAAGTTTTTCCCCTCCCCCCGAGAGCATATAACAAACGCGAGGCAACGAATTCAGTTTCGTTCGAGACACAGACGTTGACGCCTCGCTCGAAAGAAAGAGCATAGTATTCGACCATGGACGTAGTGATCGAGTTGCAAGGTTTCCGCGATATCGACGAGAAGAAATTCATCCCGAAAGAAATCGCACTTGTCGCGATTCAGGAGCCGATCATCGGCCACTGAATCTTAACGCCACCTTATCCATTTGAAGATTTACCCGAGAGATCGAGGCGAGAAAACAATTGGCTCTCGAGAAATTATCACGGCATCGAGTGGTTCGACGGTGAAACCAATCTCGAATGTTTCACCCTACATCTACGACGAATCACCCGACTAGCACGCAACATCTATACCAGGGGGCAGGAAAAAGCTCATTACCTGCGTCAATTGCTCTCCAGAAACATATATAATCTGGAAATAATCTCACCGCCGTTCAAAAATCTGCCCGAGGACGGAGAGTGCGGAAGACAACGCTGCGCGCACCACGCGCTTCAATTCCTCCCCGGTGACCGATATAATTGCGCGCTACGCAACGCCTGCAAATTGAAACGCTGGCTGATCGTGCGAAACGCCGACGTAGGGCGTAGCGATGACGCGCAGCTCGAAAGCCTATTACATGCCGAGCGTCACAAGAGAATATCTTTCGACGATCGACAAGGACCGCAACGCCGCACAAACCACCTTCTCGCCATCGGCAGACGACGGCAACGACGCGACAACGAGACCACCGGCGCACAGTGGTCTGGAACGGACAAACACTTGTTCAAAATAGGCTACAGGTCGTATTTCTTAACCGATTTTAATGTTTCTTGAACAGAAATACTCGGAAATAAATTCTGAAGAGAACTGTGAGAGCCGAATTTTGATTTTTTTGTTGGTGCAAAAATATGTAAGAAAAAAATGTGTTAAACTAGCACTTTTCGACTAAATTATTTTTTATCTGACTCCAAGCTACTTTAACAACCTTACTATCGATGAAAATCAATACTGTCCCATCATAAGAAACAAAATAATTCAATAATAATTTAACTTAATTGTTATTAACAAATTATTCAAAGAAATTATGGTTCCCCGTGCTTTATCACAGAAATAATTAGATTATTAACTTTGTTCGCGAACTCGGTCCGAAATCCGCGGCGCAGACTTCGCGAGCAATTTGAATGCCGGAACTGCCCAGCGCTGAGCACGGCGAGAACGAAAGGTGTTCGTTAGGAAAGCGGCAGGAAGCGAATTCTCGAAAGGTCGGGAGGGAAAGGCAAGAACGAAGCGAGTCAATCCGAACAAACAGAATATATATTTACGTATCACGGTCGAGTCACATGAGGCCAACTGAAAACGGCCGCGTCAACGATTCGCGGTTGATTCGACCCGGCAGCGGTCAAAGGGGGAACGGACGGAAATCTTCGACAACCAAATAATCTGCTCACTAACGGCGCGGCGGAAATCTTGACGAACGATCGGCCAAACGCCCCACCGGAGCGGAGAATCTTGCGCGCGTGAAGCGGAAATCTTCCCGCGGAGCAGATGGCTTTTCGCGCACGCGGACCGCCGCGGGCGAAACACAATTCAGCAGACTCGAAGCCGCGAACGGAACTCCGGGCGTCAACCCGGGCGCGTCGACGCACAGGACTCACACAACTTATTGCTAAAACACGCAAGAACGAACGCAGACCCGAGACGGCGAACGGGCTCTCTTGCACGAGAGTCCCGCGACGCCCAACACAAGAGCTCGTAGCGGTAGCGATCGGCTAAACGCGGCGAGTACGGCAAACCGCCAGCCGCGAGGCGGAAGGGGGCCCGACGGGTATGACTCCGACGTCCGTGCCCTTAGACTCGGCGAACCGGAGCAGCGAGATATCCGCGGACGACCAGGGCCCCAAGGGGAGCAGGCTAACGCGGAAGCGAAGCAGGCGTATCCCCGGAGATGAGTGACTCAGAGGCCGCACCTGGTCGACACTCTGTTCGGGACTGACTCGCGGACGAGAGATCCCGCGGTCGTGAGAAAGGAGACGAATTGGATTGGTCGCGGAAAAATCGCATGCTCCGATCGCCGAATCGGGTGTCAGCGAAAACGATGGGCGCCGAAGCGTGATCAGGCGCCGATCACGTGCGTGCTCCGCTTGTCGCGGGGCGCGCGCAAACCCGCCGAGCCGATGCGCGCCACCACGGTGCGACCATGGATGGCGCCTCGAGGGCTGAACTCAGGCCCATCTTAAACTAAGACTAATTCTAAACATACCGCCCGCCTTGAAACACAGTTTCAAAAACAAAAAAAATTGAGAAGGCGGATAGAATGCGTAAGCGTCAAGGCGGGGGCGACCACGATAAACGAACGCGCGACACTCTCGAACCCCGAACGCGAGGGACTCGAGGTGGACCCCGGGACCGAGGGCGTCACGCGGCGCCGTCTTCAGAGCCTTTGTCCGGGAGGAGGCAAAGTTTGCTTATCGGACGGACGTACTCCGAAGCGGCGGTCTTCACCGTGACAACTCTGGTGAGGCCGTCGGCCCCAGGGTGCACTCGGGTTATGCGACCGAGCTCCCACTTACATGGCGGGAGGAGCGGGTTGCGCAAGAGCACGAGGCGTCCTACGGACACGATTGGCGTCGGCTTACGCCACTTGTTTCGCTGTTGGAGGGTGTTGACGTAATCGTCGGACCACAATCGCCAAAATCGCTCGGATATCTGACGGACCATCTGCCAACGCGACAGACGACTCGCCTTGAGGTCCAACAGCGACGGTTCAGGGTGTACAGTAATGGATGAGCCGATAATAAAATGCCCGGGCGTGAGGAACTGATAGTCATCGTAAGTGTCGGACAGGGGCGCAATCGGTCGCGAATTGAGGCACGCCTCGATCTGGCATAGGAGGGTGCTCATCTCCTCAAACGACAACGTGTGGGTACCGAGAACGCGATGTAGGTGATGTTTGACGCTTTTAACTCCCGCCTCCCAGAGCCCACCGAAATGCGGAGCGGAAGGAGGAATGAAATTCCAGTCCACGTTGTCGCTGGCGAGGCGGTTTAAGAAGGCAGGATCTCGCAGGACGGATCGATAGGCGGAGGTCAGTTCGCGGTCGGCGCCTACAAAGGTCGTCCCGTTGTCCGAGAACATGGACTGGGGGAGCCCTCTGCGAGAACAAAAGCGCCGGAACGCGCTGAGAAACGCGGCGGTGGAATAATCCCCGACTAGCTCGAGGTGAACGGCTCGAGTGGCCAGACAGACGAACAGAGCCACGTATGCCTTCTGTGATCTGATCCCTCGTCCCGCGGAGGTTCGAACCTTGATTGGTCCGGCGTAGTCGACTCCACAGTGGGCGAAGCATCGAGGAGGAGGAGACACTCTCAATGGAGGGAGATCGCCCATTAACTGGCAAGGAGTCGCGGCCCGCTCGCGAACACAAGGGAGGCACGCGTGAATGACGGATTTGACTAGACTGCGCGCGCGAAGTACCCAGTACTCCTTGCGCAGCGCACTGAGAGACAACTGAGTCCCTCCATGGAGAGTTCTCTCGTGGACGTGGGAAACGATGAGCCGCACCACCGAATGTGGGGCGAGCAGCACCGGGTGGCGCGTATCGTACGGAAGAGGAGCGTGGCGAAGACGTCCGCCAACCCGCAACACGCCGTCATCATCCAAGAATGGATTTAACGACGCGATAGAACTCTTGGAAGCAATGCTGCGCCCGGCACGCAGGGCCTGCATCTCGACTCGAAATACCTCGTCCTGAACATATCGGATCCAGAAGCGTTTGGCTAGAGCGCATTCCGTGGAAGAAAGAGCAAGGCTCGGAGGCGGAAGCGGAGCAGAGCGCCGAGTCGGACTTCGACATGAACGCAGAAAACGGTACATGTATGCCGTGACGCGGACCAACTTGGGCCACGATGAGAATCGTGTGGCCAGATCCCAGCTCGCCGGAAGGGGCTGGGCGGTAAGGGTGTGCACCTTCTTTTGTTCCGGAATGTCGCTCCGGTGCAGGTCGGGTTCCATGGGCCATTCTGTAGACGGCGAAATGAGCCATGGAGGACCGCTCCACCACAGTTTATGCGCGACGAGTTCGTCGCCGTGAAGACCCCTCGACGCACAGTCGGCGGGGTTGCAGGCGGTCAGCACATGGCGCCAGACGACCCGGGGCAAATTCTTTTGAATCTTGGCGACGCGATTCGCCACGAAAACAGTCCATCTCGAAGGATGAGATCGAAGCCACGTCAGGACGATGGTGGAATCAGTCCAACACGTACACGGTACGGACTCCAGATCAAGTGAATGTCGTACAAATAGAATTAAACGAGAGAGGAGGAGAGCGGCCGACAACTCGAGCCGAGGGACGGTCAGCGGAGAAATCGGAGCGACTCTGGATTTGCCCGCGAGCAGCGAAACCGTAACGTCGCCATCCGACGCGATCGCTTTCAAATAAACGACCGCGGCGTAGGCGTGAGTAGACGCGTCGGCGAAGCCGTACAGCTCGAGACGGGACGCCGGTTGCGCGCCCGTCCACCGAGGGAGCGAGAGACGGTTTAGAGACGGCAGCTTCGAATAAAGGAGCTGCCAATGCGCGAAAACAGAATCCGGAACTCGATCGTCCCATCCAAGCTGACAGCGCCACAACCGTTGCAGAATGATTTTCGCAGAGACGGTGACCGGCGTGACCCAACCAAGGGGGTCGTACAGTCTCGCGATAGCAGAGAGAATGGTGCGTTTGCTCTGGGGAGCGTCAGGTTCGATAACCACCTTGAATTGAAAGACGTCGCGCGCGGGGTTCCAGACGATCCCGAGCACCTTAACCTTTTCGTCAATCGCGATAGACTTGCTGCAAGCTAGGCCGTGATTCGAAGGATCAATAACCGCGAGTAATTCGGGGGAGTTGCTAGCCCACTTGCGTAAGTCGAACTTGCCGCGTTGCAGCAAAGAAACAAGCTGGTCTCGGCGCTGACGCAAGGAATCGACATCATTGTCCCCGAAAAGCACGTCGTCCACATAAATTTGCTTACGAAGTATCGAGGCGGCAAGAGGGAACCGGTCACCCTCGTCGTCGGCTAGACACCTCAGTACGCGCAGCGCCAAGTACGGGGCGCAAGTCATGCCATAAGTGACCGTCAGTAGGTTGTAATCCCGAGGCGCGTCAAAGCCATCCGGCTGCCACCGGATGCGTTGATAGTCGATATCGCGTGAGTCGATCAAAATTTGTCTAAACATTTTAGCAATGTCGGCAGTGTAAACGTACCGAAACTGACGCCATTGCATGACGATCGAAGGTAATTCGGTTTGGAGTTTAGGACCGGAAAGCAGGTGATCGTTCAGCGTAGAGCCGTTGGAGGTGATGCACGAAGCATTGAAGACAACGCGTAAACGAGTTGTGGCGCTGTCGGCGCGAAAGACCGGATGATGCGAGATGTACACCGCTTGGCTTCGGGAGCAAGGCGTTTCCGAGATCGGCCGCATGTGCTCGAGACGTTCATATTCGCGCATAAGTCCCGATAATCGCTCTCCAATTCCGGCTGCGATTTGAAACGGTGGAGCAGGGATTGCAGCATTCGATCGGCAGACTGCTTAGAACGCCCGATATCGAGAGGAGGGGGCGCCTTGAAGGGCAAACGAACGACGTATCGACCGCGGTCGTCTCGAGAATGGGTCTCGCGGAAATGATTCTCGCACTGCTCATCCTGAGGCTAGAGGAGCTGAGAAGGGGGGAGCTCCTCGATCTCCCAAAATCGCTGAAGATCCTCCGACAGAGAGACGTCGAAGGTACAGAGTTGCACCGAAGTGCGTGAAGGGACGCGTTCCGTTACCGCGGGAAGCGGGCCGGAAATTATCCACCCGAAGATGGAGTTTTGCGCGATTGGCTGGCCGGAGTTTCCCTTCCGAATACCACTAAGAATAAGGTCGCTGTAGAGGTCAGCGCCAATGATGACTTGGATGGGATCAGAGCAGGTCGGATGCGGATCCGCCCACGGCAAGTCAGAGAGGTGAGAGAATGCCGACATCGTCGACACTCGGCGAGGAGCGTAGGACGTAAGCGACGGGAGAATGAGCGCCGTCGTCGAAAACGACGGATTCGCGGTAGCGACGGGGCACACCGTTATCTGAGCGGCATGTCGCACCGTGCCGACTTGAGCACCCCCCACTGCTGAAATCGAGACAGGCCGTCGAATTCGGCAAGTTCGCAAGGTTTGAGCCAAGCCTTCGGAGATGAAGGTGGCCTCGGAGCCCTGATCGATCAGAGCACGCGCGACCACGCAACGACCCGAGTCGCCCTCCACCCTGACGCGCGCGGTGGCGAGGAGGATCTGCGATCACGGGCGCGAAGTCGAAGCAATGAATTGACCGCCACGGTAGGCGACGGCGAGGTGGGCGATGGTTCGTTGGCTTGCGGAGCCAACTGGTCGGTCTCAGGATCCGAATCCGCGTGCAGCATCGAATGATGTCGCTTACTGCAAGTGCGACAAGAAAATTTGCTCTTACATTCCGTGGCGGAATGTGAGGCGCATAAGCAATTGAAGCAGCGCTTCAGCTTCTTGACCGTTTCGCGCCTTTAATTCGGGTTCTGAGACACGAATTTAGTGCACGCACTTAAATAATGTCGGGACTTGCACAACGGACAAGCCGACGAGGCGTTCGCGGACGCGGTCGCGACGGTAACGCGAGAAGATCCCGGCGATTTCGAGGTTTTCGATCCTAAACTGGGCGAGCACTCGTCCAGTGCGCGAATACGATTTGAAAGGAATCGGTTTAACTCCTCAAAAGTCGGCGGAGTGTCGGTGTCACCAAATTTGAGATTCCACGCCTTCCGAGAGGCGGGATCCAATTTCTGAGTCAGCAGGTGAACCAGAAAGTCGTTCCACAAGTCGCTCGGAGAACGAGCCAGATTTGTCAAGGAAGCGACCGCAATGTTAATTTTGTCGCACAAAGCCTGCAACTCTAAAGCGGACTCTTTAGTGAGAGCCGACAGTCCGAACAACGACGAGAAATGAGATGAGAGGAGACGCCGCTTATTTTCAAATCGCGACTTTAGCGCGCTTCACGCAACGGGGAAATTATCGGCGGTTATCGCGATACCCCCTAAGCAATCGAGGGCTCGACCCTTCAAGGAGGACGCCAAGATAATGCATACGAGCGAATTGACTTAATGCGTTATTGTCGATCACGAGAGCGGTGAATCGATCGCGAAAGCTCTCCCATTGAGAATAGTCACCGTCGAACGGCGGCAAACGGATCGGCGGCATGTGAGTGAGCGCGAGATTGGACGAGTCCGACGCCGCGTGGCTATTATTTAGAGACTGGTTCGGGCTCACGATAGGCTCCAGCTCCTCAAGACACTCGGCCATGTGTTCCCAGGTTGTCTGGTAGATTTCTTCGACGACCTCGAAACGGTTCTCGGTAAAGTAGTCCATCGACGCTCGCGAGGTCTCAGCCACAGCTCTCAGAAGCGACACGTGTCCGTCCTGGAACTGGATCCAGTTGGCTTTGAGGGAGGCGATCTTGGTCCGGATTTTCGCAGGCGTGAGGTTCGCCTTCCCCACCTTCTTGAAATTCTCCATCGAGCGTTCGATTGAACGCTGCAGGACGCTCTGCTTGGTGAGAAGATCAGCCATGATGCTCCAATGGCACTTCCAGTCCTTCTCGAGAACCGAGGGTCACGGTAAACAGACACCACACTCTCACCGAATCCGGCTCGAAGGACCAGCAATGTTCGCGAACTCGGTCCGAAATCCGCGGCGCAGACTTCGCGAGCAATTTGAATGCCGGAACTGCCCAGCGCTGAGCACGGCGAGAACGAAAGGTGTTCGTTAGGAGAGCGGCAGGAAGCGAATTCTCGAAAGGTCGGGAGGGAAAGGCAAGAACGAAGCGAGTCAATCCGAACAAACAGAATATATATTTACGTATCACGGTCGAGTCACATGAGGCCAACTGAAAACGGCCGCGTCAACGATTCGCGGTTGATTCGACCCGGCAGCGGTCAAAGGGGGAACGGACGGAAATCTTCGACAACCAAATAATCTGCTCACTAACGGCGCGGCGGAAATCTTGACGGACGATCGGCCAAACGCCCCACCGGAGCGGAGAATCTTGCGCGCGTGAAGCGGAAATCTTCCCGCGGAGCAGATGGCTTTTCGCGCACGCGGACCGCCGCGGGCGAAACACAATTCAGCAGACTCGAAGCCGCGAACGGAACTCCGGGCGTCAACCTGGGCGCGTCGACGCACAGGACTCACACAACTTATTGCTAAAACACGCAAGAACGAACGCAGACCCGAGACGGCGAACGGGCTCTCTTGCACAAGAGTCCCGCGACGCCCAACACAAGAGCTCGTAGCGGTAGCGATCGGCTAAACGCGGCGAGTACGGCAAACCGCCAGCCGCGAGGCGGAAGGGGGCCCGACGGGTATGACTCCGACGTCCGTGCCCTTAGACTCGGCGAACCGGAGCAGCGAGATATCCGCGGACGACCAGGGCCCCAAGGGGAGCAGGCTAACACGGAAGCGAAGCAGGCGTATCCCCGGAGATGAGTGACTCAGAGGCCGCACCTGGTCGACACTCTGTTCGGGACTGACTCGCGGACGAGAGATCCCGCGGTCGTGAGAAAGGAGACGAATTGGATTGGTCGCGGAAAAATCGCATGCTCCGATCGCCGAATCGGGTGTCAGCGAAAACGATGGGCGCCGAAGCGTGATCAGGCGCCGATCACGTGCGTGCTCCGCTTGTCGCGGGGCGCGCGCAAACCCGCCGAGCCGAAGCGCGCCACCACGGTGCGACCACGAATGGCGCCTCGAGGGCTGAACTCAGGCCCATCTTAAACTAAGACTAATTCTAAACAAACTTAATTGGTCTAAAATTACTATAATAATGATTTCTAACAAAACTTGATTGTAAACTAACAATATTCATTATTATAAACAATCAAATAAACAAATAGTAATTTTTAGATTCCTTATTTCAGGGTATTTTAAATATATGAATTAGTTACACGTAGAATTATGAGTCAATAAATATTAGAATTACGTTAACAATGTAAATTTGTTGTTAATAACCAACACACAAAAATATAATCAAATCATTGATCATGCTCGCGCGC